CCCAAAGGTGCGGGATTATAGGCTGAGCCACCGAGCCCGGCTGATTTTTTTTTTTTTAAGCAGGGTTTACTGAGAGGACACAAAAACTTCCACAGTGGGAGGGGACCTGAGGGGGTTGCCTCAAGTGACTTTCAAACACAGAAATTTGACTATACATTCCCTAGTAGGATATGTACTAACGACAAAAAGAAAATCAAAGAAATCTTAAGCCACTTTGATAGAAATAGTATTAGTATTATTTTGAAACTTTATTGTATTATGTTTGTGTACAGTCATACTACAGAACAAATTAAATATGTAATTACTTTAATTATGCTAATAAACAGGGAAATAAGACTGTCAGTGTAAAAGAAAAGATGCAAAAAACAAAGAAAAACAGTAAGTTTATCAGAATAACGAAAAGATTTTCTCTTTTAAGAAAAGCAGTAATTTCTAGCTCGGTCCACTGAGAAGACCTAAAAATATGCCAAATTCTTTATTTTTATTTTTAGAGACAAGGTCTTGCTGCATTGTCCAAGCTGGAGTACGTAAGTGGCATGATCATGGCTCACCACAGCCTTGACCTTCTGAGTTCAAGTGATCATCCAGCCCCAGCCTCCTGAGTAGTTGAAACTACAGGCGTGCACCACCACATTCATCTAATTTTTCTATTTTTTTTTTTTTTTAGAGATGAGGTATTGCTATGTAGTCCAGGATGGTCTCAAACTCCTGGAGTCAAGTGATCCTCCTACTTCAGCCTCCAAAGTGCTAGGATTACAGGCGTGAGCCACTGTGCCCGGTCAAAATATGTCAAACTCATAACAATGAATAACCTTAATGTCTGGGTTTTATTTTCCTGAAATAAAAAAATAAAATAAGTTATTTTCTAGTATTAAAAAAACTAATTTTATTTTCTAATAAAAGTGACTCCTTTTAGAAATGGTTGGGTCCCAATTAAGGGCAGGAAATGTACGAGATGAGCCTGAAACATTTTATTCCTGAAAGAAGAAGGCCATGACACTAAAGTCACGACAGAAGGTTTTAGGAACTGACCGAGGCGCTGCACCTGGCCAGCATGGGTCATCCGAGCATTGCTGCCATGACCACTTTATCCTTTCCAGCGTGTCTGCTCCCTACTTCCCTCCTCCTTGACCTCCCTCCTCCCACTGCTCCCCTTTTGGGAATGAGCTACCCTCATACTCTCTAGAAACTCTACTTCTTTACTTTCTGTGTTATTGTCTCACACGTTCCACTCAGAGATTTTGTCAACTCATCTGGTGAAGGAAATAAGCCTTGGTCCCATGCAGAACTTAGAAATATAGTCAAAGAATTCAGAATCCTCCTAAATATCTATGTTCCAGAGCTTCCAGTTTTACAGCTTCTTATCAGGCTATTAGTAACTCCTTTAAAAGCTCAAAAACAAAGTAGGCGGAATTCTAGAGAAACCACTTGAATGAGGCTGACAAATTTTCCCTGTAGGGGGCCAGAGAGCAAGTATTTTATGCTCTGAGGCCGAGAGACAATATAAAGGATATTAGGAAGGTATTTATACAAAAAGAGAAAACTGACACATTTTGATAAAATTTAAAGTATAATAAAAATATAAGGCAAGGCACAGTGGCTCAAGTCTGTAATCCCAGCACTTTGGGAGGCTGAGGTAAGGGGACTGCCTGAACTCACGGGTTTGAGAACAACCTGGGCAACTTGGTGAGACCTCATCTCTACAGTAAGTCAAAAAATTAGCCAGGCATGGTAGCGCATGCCTGTAGTTCTGGCTACTTGGAAGGCTGAGGCGGAAGGATCGCCTGAGCCCAGCAGATCGACGCTGGGATGGTCACAAGC